GTGTCACTTCGGTTTTCAGAGTATAGGTAACCACCTTGGTTAAGTTTATTTCTAAGTGTTTTGTTATTTTTGATGTAATAGAAATGTCTCTGTCAGTTATAAAATTCTGGGTTTTGAAGTGAAAAAAAAGTGAATGAAGGGCCGCAAATGGCCCTTCTTTTTATGGGTGAGTTGTAGTCCATTATATATCTATACACACACACATACTGCATGTTCATTATCTATTCAACTATTGATGTGCACTTAGGATGCTTCCATATCTTGGCAATTGTAAATAATGTTGCTGTTAATGGCAGAGTGTATGTATCTTTTTAAATTAATTCTCATTTTGTGGTTGGCTTTATTCCTTTGATAACTATCTAAGTTTAAAAAGCTAAAGCTCTAACCATTCTTAGAAACAGTGAACAGTACATACATGTAAATTTAAAAATATATGTGCAGTAAAAAAAAATGATCTATCAAGCCATGAAAGACATAGAAGAAACTTAAAAAGACATATTATTAAATGAAAGAAGCCAGTCTGAAAAGGCTACAAACTATATGATTCCAACCAAATGACATTCTGGAAAGGTCACAGCTACAGAAACAATAAAAAGATCATGGTTTCCAGGGCTTTGGGGAGCGGAAGAGAGGGAAGAAAGAATAGATGGAGAACAAGGGATTTTTAGGGCAATGAAATTACTCTGTATGATACTACAGTGGTGGCTATATGTCATTATGCATTTGTCAAAGCCCATAGAATGTACAACATCAAGAGTAAACCCTACTGTAAACTATGGAATTTGGTTGATAATAATGTACCCATGTTGGTTCAATGATTGTACCAAATATGCCACTGATGAGGGATGTTGAGGGTAGGGGAGTATATATGTGTGAGTGGGGAGGGCTATGTGGAAACTGTATTTTCTGCTCAATTCTGCTGTAAACCTTAAACTGCTCTAAAAAGATAAAGTCTATCAGAAAAAAAAAGGTGGAAAGCATTCCCTTTTCCTATGCTCTGATACAGTTTGTGTATGATTTGTATCATCTCTTCCTTAAATGTTTAGAATAAGTCACTAATAAAACTGTATGTCTTGGATTTTTCTTTGTTGGGAGGTTTTAAATGATAGATTCCAATTACGTATATATACTACTACTTACTTTTTCTATTG